TAACGGATTTTTGATAATTCGGCTATGCAGATTTCGAAAATAATATTCATTTGTCTCTATCACGTAAGGATTTTTTACAATCGGGAATAAGAAACTCTTACTTAGATCAAATTATTATTTCTTTTACCACAAAATAACAAAAATAAAACTGAAGAAAAGGGAAGAACATTGATGGCAAACGAATATACATCCTCATTCATCCTGATATTTTTTTGTGAAATCTACGTCTTTTAGTCTCAAAACTACGTGTTGTGGTCTTTATTTTATGTATTGCGTTATGGCGTTTTGTGGAAACCTGTACGTGATGGAGAAAAATTGAAACCTTTTTCCGATTCCCCGTACAGGAATTACTGTAGGACATGTAAAAATTTCAAGACAATAAAACCATCGCACGCCTGTGTTAGCAGAATCGTATTAGAAAGAAATATACTTCCACTTGACTCATATGTGAGATGGTCCATCGCATGTGTTTGGTTTGAAATCCTGATACATTTCATTACTTTAAAGACGCAAGTATAGTTGCAGTGAAGACTGTTTGTATTAGAACAAAGCCACATTGGGTTATCTGCTGAGTCCACCGAGGGGAATCAAACCCCGGACTTTAGCGTTGGAAGTCCGTGAGCTTACCGCTGTCCCACTGGGGAAGGTATAGTGAAGATATATCCTGCTGTTTTTAATTCATATTCATGTTCGGCCCAACACGTCATAAATGTTTGTTTAATATTATTTGTCCATGCTACGAAAAATCTCTACAGCACAAACGTTTGTTTTCTTTGTATATGATAATAACTTCCGATCAGAGTAAGCTATGTACTTAGAACGAAATTCAACATCAACCTGACCTTTAGTTTAGCGAATTAAATATACTTTTCTTACGTTTCTACTTGTAGATATATGTATGTGTATATCTAAACCATTATTTGACAAGTTTGTGTATGTGTGTGTGGGTGTGCCAGCTTATAACTTGCAAAAAGTTGGACCCTTGTCACCAAACTTGACGTATGCCATTAGAACCCTCAGAGAAATAAATAAGAAGTTAGCATTGGGGTCTGAGCTACCTATATTTTCCCCGTCACCTAGTTGGTATAGATATAAAAGCTTCAAATGATCCATATGAAAGTGATATAACAGGGAAGTTAAAACAACGAATCCAATTATTTTGGCTTCCAGCCTGTTGCATTTGGTCCAAACTTGTAAACCAGCCTTCTTCCTAATACTGGTAACAGAACTTGTCTCTTGTAATGATACCTAAAATAAAAACACAGTAGGTGAAAAATGCGACTACTAGTGGTTACATAAATTGAACATTCATAGCATACTAATCAGGTTTACTTAGTTCCATAACCTGTACAACTATTCAATACAAATATTTCTCTTATAGTTGTAGTTCTAGAATTTTATTAAGATTTTTTTAAATGTATTTGACAAATACAAATACAAAGAGTTTAGTACACTATATTAAATACATATTTTGGTTTTTGTTTGAAATAGCGTAAAACTAACACCTTCCGAGTATCATTTGAATTTCTAACAATTGTAATATTCATCTGAAAAGTCGAAAAACATCTAGTAAAAAAAAAGCATTACTTAAAAATTAAAGAACATAAGAACATGTTTACACTTTATTTTGGATCATATAGGGAAACTAATACGATTTTGTTTGAATTTATGCACAAAGCCTCACAACTGGCTACCTGTGCTCTGCCCAACACGGGTATAGAAACCCGGTTTCTAGCGTTGTAAGTCCGCAGACATACCGCAGTGCCACTGGGGGGCAATTAATACGAAGAAAAACAAAATTTCACCCGTTTGTTAATCTATGCGATAGAGGAATTCTATAATTTTCTGTCTAATTTTCATTAAACAAATACATCATGTCGGAAGAACAGTTACTGATGCTCGGAACATATTGTAATTATATATATGTAATACGATTAAGGATATTGTACAATTAAGGATTCTGAAAAACATTATCAGTCCATATATGGAATCTTCCCATTAAGAGAAGAGGTTGTATATTTGAAGTTATGCCGAGGTTGTTTGCATAAAATGACTGCAAAACCTCGTGTTATTTCTTAATTCTGCTACAAAGTAAATGGAAGGGCCTTCGATATATAATATTTTTTGTACTTTCTCTGGACGTTCTATGAATTTTATGTAAACTCAGTGTTATCTAAAACGTATTTAATTCTTAAATAACATCAGCCCCCCAGTAGCACAGCGGTATGTCTGCGGACTTACAACGCTAGAATTCGGGTTTCGATACCCGTGGTGGGCAGAGCATAGATGGCCCATTGTGTAGCTTTGTGCTTAACTTGAAACAAGAAAAAAATAACATCAAATTATTAAGTAACAGGAAATATTGTATTTGCTCATTGTTATAGAGCTTATAGACATCTAAGTATACTACTCATGCAACAACTACAAACCTCGGTGTATAACCATCTTAGTCTCAAGTGCAGAAATAGTAAGGTATATAGCTACCTAATCGCAAGTACTTTCAACTGCAACAATTAAAATATACTTAAATACAGTATTGATGAAAAGTTTTACATATTGTTCTATATTGATGCATGGCGTAGTTATTGAGAAAATGCCCTAGTAGTAACAGAGAAGGTAGCGTATGATCGGACAAACGTGTACGAGTTGTTATTTTAGTCTGTATAAGCTGTTTTGAGCATTTGTTCGTCAAAACACACATATCCACCTGTTTTGTATAAAGTGGTGTGCTTTTGGTATAATCTTTTTCGAAACAGATCAACACTTTGTTCAGAGATTTCTCTGTACTTCGTGTAGAGTCATGCCTCGTCACGTGTCAGAAGTTATAAGGCGTCAAACTGTCCAGAAACGGTATGAAGAAATGACCATTGCCAAAACAGTAGGGTACCCTCAGTTTACTGTACACATAATAGTGTAACGTAATTGAACTACAGGAAACGTTGTTCCAAGAAAGTCTACTGGTAGATGCCGAAAAACTACTGTTCGAGATGACCCTGTTTTGATCAGGTTAACACGTCAAGGTCGAAAAAGGTCTTGCAACACCTTAGGACAAGAAGGGCATGAATAGATTGATTTCAGGGTATCCAGAAGAACAGTGAACATAAGACTGACCAAAGAAGGTTATTTTGCAAGAAGGGCTATCTGCAAGCCGATATTAATCAGAATTTACTATCGTCACCATGTTACTTGGGCAAGACAGCATGCCAGATTATAGTTAGGACATGTGATATTTTCATGTGAGTCCTGTTTCTGGCTTGTTAAAGTTGATAGTGAGATTAGTGTTCATCGTATGCCTGGAAAACAGATGAGGGAAGAATGTCTTTCCCACAGAGAACACACAAAAGATGGCGCAGCACATGTTTAAGCAGCTGTTCATCATGGTGGGAAAACTGCTCTTCATATCCTACAGGGAAAGTTCAATTTGTGTTCTAGGACGACAATGCTACTGCCCTCAGTACATGTATTGTACAGGATTATCTCGACCAAGAGGATGTTAACATTATTACCATGGCCAGCAAAGTATCCAGATTGTAATCCCATTGAGAACTGTTGGGCAGAACTGAGCCACAAAATTGCTAACCACGATCCTAAACCAGCTACTGTAACTGAGTTGCAGCGCCTTTTATTGATAAGTTAGAATGAAATAACGATGGATTACATCAATAACCTCATCGATAGCATTCCACGTTGCCTAACAAAGGTTATTATAGTACGAAGAGGATCAATCACTTATTGAGAGTTGAATATGAACTTATATGAGGTTACAGACGCTACTTATGATAATTTGATGGCATATTTTGTCACTGTGTATATTTTGTAAGGTTTTATTGTGATAGGTGAAGTGCTGAATTACACATTTTTCTACAGATATATGATAAAAATGTTTGCTGTTCTAATAAATCGTTCATGATGTCCATGGAACTTGTCTCATTACGCAAGTTACATATTTTGACGTTTAATGGATTATGCACCTCTCAGTTTGACAGCGCTAAGTGTATTTGTATTCCATATTAACAATAATGATCTTATCTGTTACAAGATATGTAAACATTTTAGCTAATACTGTAAATATATATATATATAACGTCTTAGTTTTAAGTATCCAATATCACAAAAGTGCAGAACCAATCATAAAAGCAAATATAAAACGGTCAATAACTTCGGAAAATGTTATTAACATACTTAATATTTCATTTGTTAACTTCTCCAGGCTCAAGGCGAAATATGCTAACAAAGTGGTATTGAACAATTGGACGTTTTGACATCTACATCTTTTTTTAGTGGGTTGAATTTACTTTATAAGACCCATCTGTAAAGATGTATTGCACTGACGTCAAAACGTCACGGGGTCTGTAATTTACTCCGACCTATTGAACAACAAGTGCTTACATTTTCGTCTTAGGTGGAAACTTATCATTATCATTTTTTGATATTGTGTGATATGATTCTGTAAATACACTCAGTCATGTACATAAAGAAACGATATATCGATAAAATGAATAGCTGTTGAGTTTCGGACCCACATCTTTTATAGACGTGATATTTACGCCATTGACATTATATAAAGATATACTGAATCTTGTGTTGACATGGATTGCTTAAAAATACTTGAGACCGCTATAGTGGTATTGAATGAAACAGGTGGTTTTTGACGTCACTTGTACGCACTCCCATTAACTTGTCACCTAAA